AGGCATCCTTGGAGCTCTCTGTTGCTTCACAGCATCAACTGTCAAGATGATTCCTTAGGAGTTGGTAGCATTTCAAGATTGATGATAAAGGCTTTGGTAAATGTGTTTGTCTAATGAAAAGCTTACTTCTAGTTTTATTTTCCCCTTCTAATTGAGGATCTCTCCATTGTCCCCAGAACTCTTGCATTTGCTATTCAGCTTTTATTTTCTTAGCTTGCACTTAAATCACACGCTTGCAAGGAGAGGAAACAAGCACATTCAAAAGGAAAAAATAAATAGTTTCCATTTTTCCTTTTTTTTTTTTTTTTCTGAAATGAATCAAATGCCTTATCCAAAGCCCATTGAATTCCATGTGAGCTCTTCCCCTGACTTCAATGGGCTTTGGTTCTGGCTTTTAGCTCCCATGAAAGGTCCTGAACTGTCTGTCCTGGGATGGCAGGGAGGCTTGGATAGACAATTGCCAGAGCTCTTCTCAGCCCTCCATACAGCCAGGTTGCTAAGGAGACTTGGCCTTTAGATGGGACCTGGAGCTCATTGCTTCCGGGGTTATTGTCTCCTTTCCCTGCCAGCACACTCCAGGAGCGGCAGTGGCACTTTTTCAGTCACAATAGGCTCTCTCTGGCCTCTGGCAGCAGCAAGCCCTGTCCTACATCTTTCTTCAGCTGGCGTGCTCAGCAAGCAGCCTCTCTTCTGTGTTTTTTCATTCCTGCACCTCCAAGATGCCAAGACCAGTGGTGAGATCAGATCTTCTGGTCACTGTTGGCTGTAAAATTTGTCTTCTGGCCCCTGTCGACCGCCTCCATCTCTTGGCATCTTCATCTCATGTCCTTGCATCATGATATTCCTGCCTCTCACCTCTCAGATTTCCCTCTCTGTTAGTTGCTGTGGGTCAGCAAAAATACTGGAGGAGATGAAGCCAAACACTGCAGAAAGGTAACCTTCTGTAGGAACCACCTGCCCAAAGGCCAGTTCTCAGGAGCTCTGTGGGAAGTGTGCAGGCTCCAGTAGTCACTTCCAGGCTGGCTTCCCTGCACTGCTGGTGGCAGGATTTGCTCCTTGCCACCTATCTCCAGGTGTCCATTTGTGCCCATTTTTAGGAAACTTGGAATTTTCCAGCTGCCTTGCATTCCTTACAGTTTCCTGTCTTGGAGAAAGGCATTCTAAAGTTTTAACATTAACAGACTAAATGAGAGTTTCTTCTGAGCCATTGGGCAGCTCTCTTTGTCCGTTGTCTTTTCCGATAGCAACTCTGTTTGCTGATTGATAAGCTATCAGAACTGTTCAAGCAATTTTGAGCAGAAATGTTTAAGCCATGGATGCTTTTATGGTGGTGTAGACTTCAGTTAGATGCTTGCAGCCTTGAATTTGACATTCCTTACACGATCAGCCAGTTTCACTGCTGTCTGTAGATAACTGTCTCCCCAAATGGAGCCATTCTTGTTTTGAAGATAAACTGCAAATTGGGGAAAACAAACTGGTGTCGTCTTTTTAAGGTGGGATCCAGAATTAAGCAATCTTTCTCTCTAGATCCCTTCCAGCCCAAGGCATTCTATGAGTATATGACGGATAACCTACAGAGATTTATACACAGTGATTTAGTTTGGCTTGCTTTCAGATCAACATACAAAAAATATTCTTCATTTTTAAACATCCATTGTGTTTTAGTATAACCAGAAAAGTCTACTCAAGCAAGCAGGGCAAATCTATGAAAAAACTTGTAGATGTATATGTAGTTGACTAAGTAACTAATATTTATGGTAGCCGAACTTGTATCTACTACTTTTTATGGTCTTCATAATGTAGTGTTTAGTATGCTTGAAGACAGCTAATATTTGGGGGCAATCTTCTGTACTATAGCATAAACTGTTGACTTGTTTTTGAAAGGTTGTGATAGCGGTGAGAATGGAGCACTAAATTTTAAGTAGCCAGATGGCAAAGATTTATTCCATGAGGTTCAATTCAACAACAATGAACGAAGGGCCGTATTGAGACCAGTAGGGTATCAGAGTTGCAAGCTTGATTGCCAGCTTATTCAATATGAAAATGTTGTTTGAGTGAAATAACTAGGGATATACAGAGTCACTATAGCTTAGTGATGGTCCTAACTGTAATTAGTACATTATGTAACATCAGTTTCAGCAGCTTGTAAGATATTTGAGAAAGCATCTTTAACTCTTATACTAGTATTTAATAAAAAAGAAAATATGATATTCCATATAATACTAGCATAGCCAGTTGTTTGAGTGGTGATAACTGCTTACAAATGTAAGGCTTGTATTTTAAATGTGAAAAAGTGATGTGAGATTTATGAATCCGGTTTGTGACAGTACCTAAGCTAAATCCCTAAATGTGTGTAGTTTGCTGAGAAATAGCAAAGACTGGATAACATCCTGGAGTGACAGTTTCCAAGCAGTGATACTGTACAGAATTTAGTCATTAGTGGAATTTCTGTCTGCATTTTGTTACTTTCCCCAACACGCATATCATTTCGTGTGGCCCATGGATTCCAGGATTGACATGAAAGCCCTCTGAATGAGCATCGTGATATTTATGGTCCTCTGTGTTTCTTGTGCGCAGACAGGAGCACTCCCTTCTACTGAGGCAGGGGAGCTGAATGAATACTAGACATGGCTCTGCATGTTGGAGGGCAACTGAAGTTTGTTTTTTTAGCACACATACCCTCAGAGCAGAAATTTCACAAACGTTTTACCTATGCATATGCATTCCCTCTTTAATTTTTTAAGGAATTTGGGATGAGAATGTAAGAACTTTTGCTTTTGCTTCTTTGCTTGGCCTTTTCTATTTTGGTAGAGGAGACGTTTGACAGTCATCGATAAAAGATTAAATTGTTGATGGCTATCGGGATAAACTAAACACATTTCGTGTGTTGGTGCTGCCATAGTGGGAACTTTTCCAAGATGTTTCAGGCCTCGTTCTCTGGTTTGTTTAAGGGCAGCGAGTAAGGTCACAAAGGAAATCAAACCCTGATGTGGAGAAATGAAACATGAGGCCTACTGACTTCTAAAAAACATTTTAAATAACATTCTCTAAGGTTTCATTTTATACCGAAGGCAGCTGTAATAAGTTTTGGAAGATGGTGTAAGGTTTCTATTAAAGAGAGATCTTGCTTGCTGTTTTTGTACCCAAATGAAGGGGCGAGGGAGATGGAATTAGAGCTTATTTGGGATAAGGTGAGAAACTTCAAAAGTTTTCTCTAGAACGGGTAGAATAGTAATTTGTACAATCTACTGTAATTTACAAGTAAAAACACAAAGTTAAACCGTTCCTAGGTCTTCTGAAAACGACATACATGGCCATGGAATAATTTAATAACTGCAATACAAATGCACTTTTGCCACAAGTCAAATAAGACTGCTGCTTTGTAGTGTGCTGCCAGCATAGCCTCAGTGAATAAATTCCCAGTAGATGTTTGCCGCATGCCAAATATATTGGACGGCATGAAAGATCCCATTGTTCCATGGGCATCATTATTTGCTGTTACACTCGCAATGTTTGCTTGTGAAACAGTTTATTGGAAACTAGTGTGCTTAAGAAGGAGCACTTGATTTGAAATTCAGTTGATTTGGCTCTTAACGCCAAAGCTTTCGCAGCGCACAGCCTCTAAAAATAAATATTTAGATTTGCTTCTATTTTCCTGATCTTCAAAAAAAATTCCTGGAGTACTGAACCTCAGGCAGTGACAAGTAATGGGCTCTTCTCTTCTGATTCATAGACTGAACCTGTGTATGGGTCAGTATTAACTTTATATTCCCATGAAAAGATATGCATTGAGTTAAGCTTTCGTATGGCTGTCCAGGGAGGCGGTGGAGTCACCAACCCTGGAGGTGTTCAAGGAATGGTTAGATGTTGTGTAGAGGGACATGGTTTAGTGAGAACTATTGGTGATGAACAGATGGTTGGACTGGATGATCTTATAGGTTTTTTCCAACCTTGGTGGTTTTATGATTCTGCGAAGAGGAAATGAGTTCCCACTTACAGAAGGATGAGAGCGGAGGTTGTCTGAAGGGTTGCTGTGTCCAGGCTCGTGCCCAGCTCATCACCAGGGAGATTTGAGTAGCATTCAGGTTGGGCTTGGTGACAGTGGTGGGAAATTGCCTCACCTCATAACTGAGGAGAAGGCTCCAATCGATGCTTTGCTAAGAAACATCCACAAAACCAGGCTTGGAATGCTGGTTGCGATGCCTCTCTGGATACCCGGATGAAGAATGTATTCGGTGATGCCAGCTCAATGAACAGCATTTATGAAATGCTTAGGCTAGCAAATAAATAATAAACTCCATTAGAGCTCACATTAAATATACTGTTTTTATTTGTTTGTTTGTTTGTTTATTTACTTATTCTAAATAGCTCAGTATTGGTTTGAGTCCTGCTCAGGATAACAAATTGGTATTTGTGCTGCTGTGTCTGAGTGTTGCTGTAGTATTGATCAGAGTGTTCTAAAAAGCGGAGCTGTCTGGGATGTGCCGTGTATGCTGCATCCTGCTGCTGAGAGCTTTGCTGCTGCATTTGAGAAATATCTTTTGGTTTTCTGTAACACCTTATTGGTTCAGTTAAAAAAAAACAAACAAACAACAACAACAACAAAAAACAAAACAACTGATTGTTTGCCCCTCATTGGTGGAGGTTTAGTCCAGTTACAGCGTTTCAAAACTCAGACGTACTTCCTTAGAGTAACTCTTGAAAAAGAAGATATTTTACTTGTCTGCGCTGCAAAAAACGCACAAAGCTTTTAGTCAAGGTTTCTCCCCTCCCCCCAAATAACTATTCTTTACATTACAAGTGTAGTGCTCGAGTCATCTCCTTTGAACTGTAGTTTTCGTTATACGTTTTGGCTGCAGTGTTATTTCGGAGGAGTCAGCCAACAGACTTACAGGGCTTTTTGGCTCGAGTTCACTTACAGTTTTCTTGGCAGCTCTGCTTATTTATGCATCTTTATTTCTCTCTCTTTCTCTTGCTCCTCACCCTCCCCACTGGAACAGAGCGATCACCGCACCGGCCCATCCTCCAAGCTGGCCTTCCAGCAAATGCCTCAGCTGTAGTCGGAGGTGATGTCGAGTTTGTCTGCAAAGTCTACAGTGATGCTCAACCCCACATTCAGTGGATAAAACACGTAGAGAAGAATGGCAGTAGATACGGACCAGATGGACTGCCTTACCTTCAGGTTTTAAAGGTGAGGTGTTGCAGATGCTGCTACTGCTGGTGACAGCTTCTTTAAAGAGTTACATTTATGTGATGTAAATCCAAGGATTTTGAGATCGGAACTTCTTTTGAAATTGGAAGTGTTTGTTACAAATGAAAAGTTAGATAAACATTCGGTAGCCTGAATGCTAATTATGCAGCTTATAGATGCTTTTGATTTTTTTTTTTTTTTTTTTTTAAACTTCCTTGAAGTCCTTTATCTCTGAACATTTCAGGCATGGCTCGTTCAGAAAAGAACGAAAACCCTCTTAAATAACTTCACTGATGTTCCCTCACCCTGTTTGTTTCAAAGACTGTTTAGACACATGACACCTGTTGCCAAAAGTTTGTCGGAGGGTTGGGTTTTCTGGATGCTGAGCCTGTGAGGATGTCCATTTGTCCCCAGTGTGATGTGGCACCAGGTTGTTCTGCACCGTGGAGTTTTCCAAGCTGGTTGGCGATGCTTCGGATTAAAAAAAACAAGCGAACAAAACTCAGACCCTAAATGTTTTGCCCCTGATGCTTGCATGAAGTGGAAGTCATATTCATATGAGGTGTTGGTGGTGGGACCTTAGACAGATTTGTGTCCTATTTGGACAGCAGTTACATTGTTCTCCTGTGTTATTGGTCTATTCTAGCATTCGGGGATAAATAGTTCCAATGCTGAAGTGCTGACACTGTACAATGTGACAGAGGCGGACGCTGGAGAATATATTTGTAAGGTCTCCAATTATATAGGGGAGGCCAACCAGTCTGCCTGGCTCTCTGTTCTGCCGAGTTTACAAGGTAACAATGTTTTTTAAAGAAAGCTGGATGTAGAAGCTGGAAAAAAAAAAAAAAATGGTGCTTTGGGAGACTGCAGGCAGCTTGTAGGATAACTCCTTGGCCTTGTGGTATATTTGTAATCCTCCTTTGGTGTTGCAACTGGTATTACACCAGCAGCCATGGAAAAATTCCCACAATATTCTGTGTGCTATACTCAATGGTTTCTGATGTTGGTCTTTATTCTTTCTTGTGTCTGGTGTCTGTGTGTTCGTTTGTGTTCAGTTTTGTTGTTAATCCTGCATACTTTGCAGTTCTCATCTACGGTACTTGATGAATAATGCGATTACAGTCTAATTAGTGTATCACATGCATATGTATGTGATGTATATGTATATGTGAAATGTTCACATAAGTGCCCATTGAAGCACTTCTGGCCTCCATTCATCCATTCCTGGTGGGGTAACAACCCATCATGAGCAATAAAGATTGGCAACAGTGTGACTGCAACTCACAACTAAATTTACTCAGAAATGGTCTTGTGAAAATATTTTTATTCTATCATCACATACTTCAAAGTAATGTTTTTGGATGGAATAAAGATAACAAACAACAACTGTCTCTATTTAAAATAATTTCTCTAAATCTCCAGAACAGAAGCATTGGCATGGATTCTTGTTGTACTCATTCTGGGACATCTAGAGACTTCCATGTCTAAGAGTCTCTGGGTTTTGGATTCTGTCTATTTGTAAAAGATTGGAGAAGCACTGAATCCCTGATAGGTTTGGTGCATAATGACCTAACAGTGCTTCTTGATTTAACTTCAGTGCAGCAGATGATGCAGGGACCATCGGCTGCTTGAGACTTCTGCCAAGTGCTGTCATTTGGAGCAGAATTTGCCCTCTTTTGCCTTTACCCAATAAATATATATATATATATTTGTAAATTAATTCTTCTGATGCAGGTAACTACATATAAAGGATACCACATTCTGTGTCTGTTTTCTCTTTGTTTTTCTTCCACCACTCTTTTATTGAAAACAAGGGAGAAGGGAAAGAAAAAAAAAAAAAAAAAAAGATTTGTGGGTTAATTTTTCCATGTCATATGATTGCATGCATGTCTAGGTGGTGAGTTTTGGTCTGGTGAAGGGTGTTGATTACTTTCTGAGGTGAGCTGGGACCTGTTGGTAAACGCCTTTTGGAAGAGGGATTGTGGATGGGGAAGGAGCTTTGCATCTCTCCACCTCTGCCTTTCTGAAGCGCAAAGCCCTGTGGCTCCATCTCCCTATCCACAAGAGTTCTCTCAGTGTCTAGCTTTTTCTCTTGCTTCCCTCTTTTTTTTTTTCTAGGCTGCCGGTGTTAACACTACGGACAAAGAAATTGAGGTTCTCTATATACGGAATGTAACTTTTGAGGATGCTGGGGAGTATACATGCTTGGCGGGTAATTCTATTGGGATATCCTTTCACACTGCATGGTTGACAGTTCTGCCAGGTATACACTGCTTTCTTTCAGTGGTTTTTCCTCTTTTTTTCCCCTTGTTGAGTGCTGCAAAATTAGCACAGCTTCTGTCTCAGAAAATGACTTTGGGCTTCCTCAACATTTTTATGATGATTATACAATAATTATATGTACAGTCACACTTGTCGCAAGCCAGTGGATTGTCTTGTGACACATTCTAGTCTACAAGTCCAAATCCCCTTAAAAAAAAAAAAAACAAAACAAGCCAAAACTGACAACTTCTGTTGCACTTAAATTATGTTTACATCTGTTAAACGTTCATCAGAAATGTTGAGGAACTGCATTTCCTTCTCACTTCAGTGAGATAACTGAAAATCAGCACATAAATCATTGTAAACTTCAAAAGGAAGAAATTCAAAGTTATCCCAAGAAACTTGGGGACTGATTTGGCCATAATCATGTAACGGTTCATCTGAATACACAAGCTATTCAGGATGCTTAATTCACTGTTACTTATCATCCAAACCTTTTATGAAGATTCTAATTTTGATGCCCATGGATTGTGTACAGAAGCAGTGCCCTTCATCTCTTGGGAATCAGCTCCGTGCATCTTTGAACATCGCATGCTCTAAGAAAACAAGTAGTCATTTGCTTTTACTGCAAAGCATGTCTTGCTGTTCTGGGGTTGATGATGTTTCTGTCCTGAAAAGAAACAAACATCAACGTGCTTTATTGCCTGAAAATTGTTATCAGCTGTTAGAAGATGTAACCATAGTTGGTTTTGACGTTAGTCAAATGTTCTTGTTTATAGCTGTTGGCAGCTGCCTTAGGAGTTCCTTTGAAAAAATGTGAACCACCTGAGGTTTGCTGGGTCATCTTGTGCTTACCATTTATTAATTGTTAATCCTGAGTAAGAGGTACAAAATCCGCATGTACATAATGCTGAGATTCGTGGTACACGAGTGAAATTTTCTGCAGACATTAACCGTTATCAAAATATACTGAATGGCACAATGTTATTACATCTCACTCTTACATGAACACCAAGCCTGCGTGGTCTGCCACCAAGCAGGCAGGCAGTGCCTGTGTAAATCTTGCTTCTGCTAGCAGTGTTTGCATTTTGCAAGTGCTTGAACAGCATTTTTTAAGCAATTTTCTTGAATGAAATATTTTGTTGGCCTAGAATAAGGCACAAGAAAATTTTGGCTTGAACGTGCATTGCTTGTGGAGTGACTGCTGACTGCTGTGGAATGCTGCCTATCTGGGGGATGAACCCCAGATAAGGGATTAGGGACTGTGTTTGTACATATAAGTATCCTGAAGATGGTTTCAAAGTTGTTTGTCAGAGTAACATCTAGGTAGAACCACTCCCTCTGCAACCAGTCTCGTAGACTAGCAACCACATTCCTTAAATATGCAGCTTTAGTGTGGCTGACAAAGGAGGACTCACAAAGGCAAATTGCTAGCAGTTCAATTGAATTTAAAAGTATGGTGAGGGACCAATTTATCCTTCTGTATTATAAGAGCCCAGTGAGAATTTTGGATAAACAAGCAATGCAGACTCAAGCCCCAACTTCTGTTTGCACGTTGTGATATAATACTTTTAGACTAGCAAATTCTTCTTTTTTTTTTTAATCTTTAAATATGCCTTATGTGGTTAAAAGGAAGAACAGTGCTTCTGAAGGTTGACTTGAGCAATAAAATGAACATGTGCCTAGTTTGAGCACTTCAATTCCTTCTTCTCCCCTAAAATAATAGGGGATTATTTGATATTTTGGTGAATGTGTCTCCTCAGCAGGCAGACACAAGTGTATGCCTATATAGGTCTATTCATGAACACACACACTATGGCTGAGATGTTAAAATGGTGATCTTTAGAGAGGAACAGCTCTCAGATTTCAGGCCTAACTATCCACAGTGATCGATGTGTCACAAAGTCACTGCTAGAACTGCTGATGTTTTATGTTGTTCCATGCACTGTGCTGAGCTGTGCTTGTACTGTGTGCTAACTCTGCGGCATGATTATTCCCTCCCGAAATCCTGCAATCCAGCTCCTGAAAAGGAAAAGGAATATCCAACATCTCCAGACTACCTGGAAATAGCAATTTACTGCATAGGGGTCTTCCTGATCGCCTGCATGGTGCTGACGGTCATCCTGTGCCGCATGAAGAACACCACCAAGAAGCCTGACTTCAGCAGCCAGCCCGCTGTCCACAAGCTGACAAAGCGAATCCCTCTGCGCAGACAGGTAACAGAAAGTAGATAAAGAGTTTGAAGAACTTTTACCAATACCCAAAGCCAGCACATCCTTCTGATAGGAACGTTGGAAGGAGGAATAAGGGAGCATGAAAGCAAATTGTAATGAGGGTTGGCTTTAGTCTGAAGCCAAGGAGACTGGCATGGGAAGAAAGTGCATCTTGCTGCAGCAGTCTCAAGGCAAGAAAGTCAGGGATGTTGGAGCAAAAATGTGAAAGATGGAATATATTCTGTATTAGCAGTCCTACAGATGGAAAAAAAAAATGTATTGCAAGTAATTTGGGGCCTGACCCCACAGCTTGTTGAAGTCAATGGAAAATTTTTTTGCTGACTTTGGAACAGAATCCTGTTTTATTGTGTATTTATGATGTTTCTAAGGTGACTTCTATTGTAGTAACTAGGTATCAGATACAGAGAGGTATTTTTCAGGAAGAGGGGGAAATTTCATGGCCAAGCACCCGGAGAACACCTCAAAATGGAAAAGCTGCAATAAAGTAAAAACAGGGGCAATATTAAATCAGATCTCGGGCAGTTGATTAAGCTGCTGATGTTTCTGAGTGAGAAACAAAAGTGGGAGTCAGATGCGAAATGCACACAACAGGATTGCACAAAGCATAATTTGCAATTGCTTGTTGCTGGCAGTGAGCATTGCTGGAAAGGGCAACACTGTGAGCAGCAACACAGCTGAGCAGGTAATATGCCTTTGGCTTTGTCACAGGCCATCACCCGCCAGAACAGCCTCTATTCTACAACGTATGGCCTCCTAAAGACTTTGGATCCAGGTCTGGTCAGGGCAGTGTGAATCTGATGAGTTCAGGTCCATCTGCAACCTCATGGGTTGGGTTGAATTTCTGCGTGTGGCTCTTGTAGCCAACCTGTTTTGGTTTTTTTCAGTATCATAGTAATACCCCTTCCCTCTTCATTGTAGGTGTTTGAAAGTTTGGATGCACACTCAGGGGGGGATCTTGGTCTTGGGATTTCAAATGCTTGGCTAGAAATATGGCAGAGAAATCCCTGCATTATTGTGTTGAAGGTTGTCCCCTAAGCTGTGGTGTCTAACAGTCTTGGTGTGAGGGACGTGACTGTTATCCAATCTGAAAAATATTTGGTTTGTTTTATAAGCAAAAATGATAATTCTTACTTTCTCTGGCTTGCTTTGCCACTTAAAAAAAAAATAATAATAAAAAAAATTGTGGTTTTAGTCATTTGCTTGAAAATCACCAGAGAGGAGAGGTACATTGGCCTGTGAGTATATCCCAAAAAGAGATGAGAAGCCCTCAGCTCAATTTATATGTCTCTGTAGTTAAAACTCAGTGTAGTTTTCTGGATAATGAGGGCTTTTCAGAATCTGTACACTTAACTAGGCAGAGAATGATAAATATTCAGCTTAGAGAAAAAACATTTATTAGACTTCTGCTTGAATATAAGAGTATCATAATTACCCAGAGATGAATAGATGGCATAAAAACTGCTTGAGGTTTGGTGTGAGCTCAGTTGTGTCAGTTGCAAATGGTTCCTCGATGGGAGAATGTTATTTCTGTGTGACACTGGTGCCTATCACTGCCCTCAGCTTTGCTGTTTATCATTAAATGATGCAATATGGAACTTCTCCAAAGCTATTGTTCTCACAGAGGACAACATCCTTGTCATAAAACATGCTTGTCAAGTCTGTCGTTTCACTTGCTTTTCCTCAGCCATAGCAAAAAAAAAAAAAAAGGCATTTTGCTTTTAAAAGTGGGAGTATATATTTGAAAAACAGTACATGTTTGAAAGTGAGAACCCCTAAGCAAACCCCCTGCAGAAATTCCACTGCTCTCAATTCTCCGGATTACTCCCTCGTTAACAGGAGTTTCTCATTCAAGGGCTCTCTGCAGGCACATCTTCACAGAGGAAAAGAGCTGTTGAGAAGAAATCTGCATCTTTGTTCTGATGATTTCACTGATCAGCTCACTAATTGTATCAGGTTAAGAGAGCAGGACGAGGTAGCAGTCCCTGGTTTGCTTGTGTGCCATGAAGATTCCTTAGACGTGGGTGCAGCAGGCTTTCCTTTGCCTGTGTGCTGTGCTCTGCAGGAGAGGGACAGAGGAATGGCCAAAAAGCTGAGAGGATAAGTGTGAGTGAGCAGGGGGAAGTGCTTGTGACAGGTAGATGGTGTGAGCGCAGCAGAGAGCCTGGCCAGTGGATGATTTGGTGGGATTCCAGGGAAATGAGGCCATGGTTTGGGGAATTCATGATATTGTCTTGGAAGCTCTCTTCTGTGAGGTCAGGCTCCCTAAGGATGTGGGTATGAAAAGAATACTGGTTCAAGTGGCTGTGATGCCATCTCGTTTAGGAGTCTTGTTTGGTAACATGTGGTTTGATTTGCAGGCCTGGACTCTCATACATTGGCTAGTTAGTCTGAGCTACTACGGGATTTTATCACTTCTCACATGCAGGCATTCTTTTCCTGCCAAAACACGGTTCTCTTCATAGGAAGGATCACGATGAAGTTGGGAATTATCGGTTCCCTCCCTCTGCAGCCCTGCCCCTCACTCAGCTCTGGTTCTTGCTTTTCGAGATAGAAACTGCTTACAGGGAAACGTAACAAGCAGTTACAGAGAGCTGCAGCACTACACTGGTATTGGCCGTGCTCTGCATGGGAGTGCCAGCTCCCCAGGCAGTGGGAAGAAGCACTGCAGAGCTCACACACCGACCTGCAGCACAGGCTGCAGCCAATAGATTCTCTGAACTGATGGGCCAAGGGCAGGCACTGGTAGGAGGTGCAGTTATTCTGTAAAGCCTTGGGGCTGCTCAGTTGTGTGTTTGTGTGTGTGCACGCCTTAGGAGGGAAGAATGATTTCTTTTACTGTATCTTAATTACGTTAATGTTAATTTACACGGACAGGGGTTGGTTGTTCTAATTCTATATAAAGATATAGTGCATACATTTGTGATGAGCAAAGGCTGATCTAGAGCAAGGCTGCAGCTCACCAGGCAAAATGGCTGCGTTCAGAACGATGATGGCAGCTGGAGCCTGAGAAAGAGAAATCTGGATCAAGTAAACTAACACAGTATTGCATGTAGGATCGAGCTGTGGAAGTTTAATTCACTTCACGGAATAGACTTTGAAATTCAAAGATAGATACATAACTTGTACTAAGACACGTTCCAAGAAATTTACTGCCTTACGTTCTTTAGTTTCTTGCTTTATCCTTTGGTTTCTCTATATGGAAACTATTGCCTAGTTGTATCCTTAGTTTGTTGCTGTGTGTTTTGAAAAGAAATCTGTTCCTGAAGGAGTTGTGCTGTGCCAGAGCTTACCTTAGGAATCCTCAGGCTCCTGTAGCAAATTTACCTTATTTTGCTAGATCCAGGCACTTAGAGGGACCGTTTTTAATTGCACTGCTTACCAGTTATATATGTATATGCAGATGACTTCAAATTAACTTCTATAGCAGAGCCTTCAAAAAAGACTGACGATTATAGGAAGTCTCCACATGGCTGCTAAAATCTCACAGTGTGAGTGCCAGAGCTTCAGGATATAGCATAAATCATCAGTGGAGGAAAACACCCTTCATAATCAATTACAGACAATTACACACTGCTCCGCAGCTGATTTTTCCACATAGCATCTAAAGATTCATTTTAAGTTTTAAATGCTGCTCTGCTTAGAAATGCTTGTGAAGTATTTATCTCAAAGCTGATTAAATGCAGCACGTTGGCTGAGGGACAAATACTTAGTTAAAATGGGGATATAATGATGCTAAGTACATGAGGTTTGGAGACAGTGGGCTTTTCTCCTTCTGAAGTGCAGGAATAGGGTTTGGGATGTGTCTGAGGCTGATATTCTGCTTGGTTCTGGCCTCCTAAAAGCAGAAGGCACACAGGAAGCACGTTATAGTGGAGGACTGCCTTCCTCTTGAGATTAACATATAGCACAGTAGTCCTTCCAGTGTTCTGCTTGTGTCAAGTGGACTTTTGCCTTCCTCTCTTTAATCAAGCACCCAAATGACTCTTCAGGATAACGTAACCACGTAAAACAGGCACTATGAGTGTGGTGAGTAGGCACTGGAGATGTCTCATTCACCTCCATCAAGTGCCCCTCCTTGCTTCCTTCCTCCTGACTAGCGATGTGCTAGGAGAGAAGCACCTCTTGGTGGGCTGGGTGGTTGGCCAAGAAGGTTGAGCATTTTGGATGGATGTCTGCCTTCTGCTTTGTGGCACCCAGTGGACCCAGAGGTGGCTTTGGGTCTGTAACCAAATATAATTGCAAGCTTGTTGGGAAAACTCAACGTGGCCTATGTTACCCCTTTTGTTGCCTTGAATTGTTGCATAACTGAAAGCAAAAAGAGCACATGGAACTAAGGAGAAAGCAGCTCTGCACCCTGAGGTGTGGGGATCGTGGCAGGATCACCACTGTTTCTCAAACCTGTGTGAAGAGGGGGAAGCAGCAGGCTGGAAAAAGGCTTCCTACATCCTCTTACTTAAGCATACCCACGTAGACTAAAATTGACCATGCATACTGAGCTACGAGTATGTAAGACTTTCCTCATCGTTTTATAGTGCGCTCTGAAGCAGTGAGAAGAGATGCTAAGAGATGTGTTCAAAGGTTAATTATTTACTATTGCGTGAAAGGGAAAGGGCCGTTTTAAAACAGAAAATCTCTTTTAACTGAAGCCTAGGTTGGCTGAGCCTTTTCTGGAGCAGGCTTTATAGCCCTTTGGCTCCTATAAGTCTTGCTCTGCTCCAGCCAGTCAATCAGGAGAATGTTCCCTAGGAGTGCAGTCCATTTTTCTTATCCCAAACACTTGAAGAGTTCCTCTGGATTTCTCATCATTCCTATCCAAGTGAGTGTACTTTGTTTATCTGCAGCATCACCAGTCAATCTTTTATTTATTGTGCAAAGTAAACACGTTCAGTTTTGTTGAATGGGAAATCGTCTGTCATTTATCTGTTTTTCTGTAGTATTATTGTTATTATTTAATGTCTGTGTTCGGAATGTCTCACCAGGGTATTTCAGTTTATTGCAAGTTTACATTTCCCAGTTTTTACTACTGTAAGGCTGCTGAATTGTGAGTGAGTTAGAGAAAAGATGGAGCTTTTGCAGAGATCTAAACAGTGTCAGTAAAAAATACACTTTTATGAGGAAAATGACCCCAGAACGTTTTTGGCCAATTTCTGATACACAAGGAGCATCATCTAAATTTGCCTTTATGTTGTCCCATGGAAAGACATTGGATATATATAAATGTCAGGACTTGAATAAGTATAATGGTAGAATGGCCGGAGAACAGTGGGTGCATTTTGAAAGTATGGAGGAAGTGGTCATAGGGAATTTAGTAGTAGGTTTCCAGTGAGAGAGATGAAAAGATGAATGAAACAGGAGAAAACTGAAGTGCAGGGGTAGACTTGCTGTTGATGGAGATTTGCACATTTCTTAGTGTTGAGCTGATTGATTTCATGAAGCATCACTTTTAAACTGTAGTGAAATCATGAAAATGAGTAGAAGTCTATTTCTGGTCCTGGTTCTCCTAGTGACTTGCCATGCAGATCTGAATGAGCAGTTCAGCTTCAGCAGGTGTGTTCCTGCTGTGGGCTGGGCATGGCAGCATCCTTCTCCAAGGGCTCTGTTCAGTATTCATTTACTGATTTATTTACAGCCCCGCAGTCTGCATTAAATAGCAGTTTTCTGTTTGGATCCCAAGTGGTCACTGTATTTATTATTCTAGAGGAATGTGCCAGGTAATTTTATTTGCTGAGAGTAAATACTAAGGCTAATGATGGTGGGATGGATGGGGGGAGGAGGTCCACCTTCCCTAGCTGAATGGCAGCTTTATTTGTGCAGCTGTACTTCTTGTTCCTGGGCATATGTCAGGAGCAGAAGTTGGAGTTTCTGATCTCAAGGAAGGTCTATCAGTCAGCTTCAAAACCAGTTACCAAAGTTAATCTTTTGAAAGCAGCCCTCAATGCATTCTTCCTTACGAAGCCCTTTTCCAGGCTTAGTCTTTGATCTGCGGAAAAAACCTCGTCAAGAACCCAAACCTGTTTGATGGGATGGTCTTGAAGTTGTCTACCTGCAAAAAGGCATCTAAACCAAAGATGTAACAAGGTCATCATGAGAAATTTGAGCGCTTTAGCCTTGTCTTGTCAAAATACATTGTGCAAGAGTGTGTCATGGTCGCAGAAGCCTTTCAGCCATGCTCTGATGAGCTTGAGTCATTCAGTGGGCTGTGACACTGTGATTGTTAGTTGGACTTAATATAATTGAGCACTTATCAGGTGTCATAGAAACAAGAGGATTTTGTGTTCGTATCACTGTGTATCGCTGACAGGATCTGTTTGCTTATAAGAGCTTTTTTTTATCTAGCTATAAGACCTCTGGCACAAAACTGGCCTGGTGACATTTTACATAAGCAAACCTGGTGCTAGAGTTGATTCCAGATGATAAGGAGAAAGGCCAAGAGTGATGGTTATAGCTCTGAGCTTCCAGCTTGGGAGAGGCCCTGATGATGCTGCCCAATACGTGTCTTCTACCACCTGATGTGAGGATGGGTCCCAGAGATGGCATTGCAACACAGCCTTCGTCCCACCATGGCCATCAGCTTTCGGCTTGGCCTGAAGAGAGGTGGAGGATTCATGTTTCAAGGAGAGGACAGAGTGGTCATGCAAGCAATTTTGGATGTATTTCTGCCATTTTTAAGACCGCAGGTTGTTTGCTGGTGTAAGGGAAGTTGCACCTTATGGAAGATGTGCCATTTTCACCAACACAATTTTTGTTAACGTGGATGGAGCATTTTCAGAGTACTTTACAATTAAGTGGTGCTCTGAGAAAAATGTGGGCTTTTTTGAGGCCAATGATGAATTCCAAAGTTAACTGTATTTTGAAGCATTGAATGTGAAACATTTTGTTTTTTAACCAATTCTTCTCTGCCTTGCCTGCAGAATCTTTACTTCAGTTTTAAATGAACTAAATTCTTAAGTACTCCCTTACTATTGTGATAGCTTTTTGATAGTTTCAATATTCAACATTTAGGAAACATAGGAGAGGAGCTTACATTTCTTACACATGCACGTGACCTTGGTCATTGATGCTAGTGGATTAAATAGGGGAACTTTTGTGAAAATTTGTCAATTAAAAATGAAAATTTGTCAATTAAAAAATGAAAATTTTGGTTTAATAGCAACACTTAGAAACACTAAATTGTGTACTGATTTCAGAAAACAAGTGGTGACAAGGGAAACAAGAAGTGAATGGAAGATGCTGATTGGTAATTTCTGCTCATGGTATAGGCTGCCCACTTAGGTATCTAAGTTGGTAATGTAAATACTCACTTGATTAAAAAACAAAACAAAACAAGAATTAATCCAGTAAATTGGGAGAAACATTTATTTAAATTCCCTTCTGGGTGAATGCTTTTAGAACTCTACATCTGTGGGTTTGAAACTGTGAGACAGACCTATATGTGGGGCAGCAATTGGAGTCAGTGTTGTGCTAACGTGGGAGGGTAAATGTAGGATAGTGCTCTACACATGAGTTCAGATTCAGCCACTCTTCTCCCTAGCACCACTGTTCTAAGCTGGCTTGGTTCTTATATGTCACTGCTTTTCAGATATTGGGCCAAGATTACATCTCTGCCTTTCTGTTTTTTGCACCTTGCATTGCAATAACAGGTGTCGGCTGACTCGAGCTCCTCCATGAACTCCAACACGCCTCTGGTGAGGATAACTACTCGCCTGTCCTCCACTGCTGATGCTCCAATGCTGGCAGGGGTCTCAGAATATGAACTACCAGAGGACCCAAAATGGGAGTTTCCAAGAGATAAGTAAGTTGCCTTTTTTCCTTACCACCGCCTCGCGTGCATCTGTAAAACATGACATGGTATGAGAGGAAGCTTCTTGCTGAATGTCTACCATTCAGCTGCTTTTGTTAAAAGAAAATCTCGATTACTTGAACTTTCCCTGAAGATCAAGATGTATTCAATTATCTATTGAATCTATTTTGATTTTTCAGTAGAAATGGAATTTTCTCTGCTTGTTGTTGGGGTTTATTTTCACTTCAAAAGAGCGGTTGAGATAAGCCCAAGCAATACCTCTGTATGCTAAACCATATTTCCCAGTAGTTTAGTGCATAATTGATCAATGTTTATGAAAGATGTAATACGATATAAAATAGGAGATGGAAAAGTCTAGAAAATGGTGTTAGGCAAACATGCAAAATGAGCTGCTGAATGAGCAGAGGCATAACCACATTTCTTAATGTGAAATGGACATGTAAAAGAGATGGTATTAACACAGGTAAGGGCCATGATGTTACACTGAAGTTGATACTAATTTTAAGAAGTTTTCAGGAGGCTTTGAGGAACTGACACCTTCTGTCCTGAGCAGTGTTCTTTGAAAGCTCAGTGCTGTGCCTTTTGGATAGTAGAGCTGTAATTTTGAACATTCTGACAACTGTTCTGGAAATTACTTTTAATTATGTAGCTGAAAACTAGTAGAAAACACAGTAATTGCCACCTGCAGTATTCTAGTCAACAGGGGGGCCTGTATACATACCCCATACCCTTGGGGGATACACTAAATGTGGAAAATTTTAGTGTGCTAAACATTTAAAACTGGCATTCAGCACAAATGTAGGTGGAGCGGATTTCCAATGAAAGGAAGCTATTTAGAGGCAGTTTATTAAGTTGGGGGGCAGCAGGCACACAATGAGGGGTTTGTTACATTAGTCCTAGCAGGGCAATAGCACATAAATTAATCAGTTTCCAATGCAAATGTTTGTTCTCTGCCAAGATCCTAAATTCAAATTCAGTTCTGGATAAAGTGCAGGATGACCTCAGCATAGCATTTGCTGCCCTTCAGTCTTTGCACCTTTTTAAGCCAGCGTTTGCTTTAGAAACCAATCCAAAACAGATTGAGGAGTTCTCACCACGGCTAAGACTGCACTTGACACAGCGTCCACGAGTTGCTCTGGGGAGGAACTGCCCTTCACCTCTCCTTTGTGCCTGAGCAGATAAGCAAGAAGGGTTTGCAAGCCACTTGCCCCAGTCTAAGAGCCTTCTGTTGGTGCATGCCAGTGTGGGAAAATATAAGTCCATGATTTTCACAACCAGCTTTACCTACATCATACCTGTGAGTCCTGCTTGTGGCCATGGAAAGCCATGACTATAGCAGTTTGGTTATGGAAATGTTTGCCCAAATCTGGCCGCTGTGTTGGATAATGTCAACTACTACAAGTTCATCAAACATCCTTTATGACATCTGCAGCATCGCTCTGCAGTTCAACAGCATTATCTGTGGGTGAAGGAGACAGAATCTGGCTCATGAGCACTGTGCTGGAACCCAAAAGATTTGGCTCAGAGGCTTTGAAGTTTGTTGTATTTTATTTTTTTATCCTCCTCAAGTTGAGATGGAAGCCTCTGTGCCTATTACAGCTGAGCAGGTTTAGCAACCATTATAGACTGGCATATGCAGCTGATCCAGATAGCGACGGTTCTTCTCACAAGGTTCTTTACACTGCTGCTGTGATGTGAATGGAACTTCAGTTTCCCCAGTCTCTGCTTCCCACTCTTGAGTGCAGCATGGGGCAGCGGGACTGCAGAGCAAAGCTGGCAGTGGCTCAAGACACACGAGCATCCCCCTGGCTGCCCCTCATCTTTGTCCTCCTGCCCCTTTCCTGCAAGAAGACGTCTGTCTGGCTGCTTCCTTAGCTGCAGGGAGGAGGACTGGGGTGATAACGGGGGCTGATAACCACCCACAGCTGAGCTCAAGCACAGCCACTGCTGGGCTGCTCTCTGTCCTGGCCGATCCCTTTGGTGCAAGAGATCATTAGGCAAACATTCATGACCCACGTCCACAGGCAGAAAGCAAAAATAGGAATTCTGAGCAAAAGTTAGGCTGACAGTATGTTTGACTGTTCCCTCTCTATGCCGGTATATCCCAGGGTTAGTGATCCTGAAAACACCCACCTAGTTTTGATACCACCCTTAACCACACAAACCATCAGCTGCCTGACGTTGAACAGATGATGATGTGCACAAAGAAACCTTTCTTCCATCTCCTCACAGTCTGCATGAAGAAGCAGAAAACGTGCCACACCAACCACCATGAGAAGCCAGGCTGTGCCTTCCATTCCTGCACCCCGAGCTTTGGTTGCACCTGGATGCTCTGCAAGTTCTGCCCATGCAAGTTCTGTTCTGTTAGAGGCAGAAGGGCAGCTTAAATGCTGCGTTTAGCAACTGATCTGCTGGTATTAGATGCTCACTATAGTGTCACTAAGAAAACAGACTGTGGGGTGCGTGAAAACCGACACACGCCGTGCATCTCATTAGTTCCATATGATAATTGCTTAGTGCTGCAGCAAGTTGTTGAAAGCCTTTTATATTTAGCTCTGGAATTTTGCTGGCTGTGCCCCTGCCCCAGATGCTGTGTGTTAATCCCCTGTTTACACCTCCAGGCTGACGCTGGGTAAACCCCTGGGGGAAGGTTGCTTTGGGCAAGTGGTGATGGCCGAAGCGGTGGGGATTGACAAAGACCGGCCCAAAGAAGCAGTGACTGTGGCAGTGAAGATGCTGAAAGGTAAGAAAACAGGCCAAGCAAGGTTTCAGCCTGCTTTCAGCCATGAAAAGTTTCCCTTGCAGTGTCTGAGCTCTGTCGTTGTGGGGGGGGTCAGAGTGCACATAGCTGACCTCAGCCTTCGGTGGTTTGTGGTGTAAATCTGGGCTCTTGACAGCCTGTTTATCTTCAGCCGCGAGTATTTGGACGTATTGGCGTTGTGCGAGTTCATAGCAGCAGCTGTCTGCATGCAGATCCTAGCCCAGCTGGTTAGTGCCTAGTCGTTTTGAATTTTATTATGAAGCCAGCTTTTAGGAAAGACGTGGTTTTTAAAGGTTGATAGTTAAGGACAGGATTTTAATGTTTTGTATTGCTTAACATGTGATTGAAGAAGCAATCAGTCTGTCAAAGAGGCTGAGGCTAGTTTTTATTAGGACATAACACGTGGCTTTGTACAGTGTGCAGAAAACCAATCCCATGTTCTACATTCTGAAGCACATGCTGGTGAGCCATAGAGACAACAGAAAGTAGGAACTGAACTTGTGTCTTGTGCAGATGATGCTACAGAAAAGGATCTATCCGACCTGGTGTCAGAGATGGAGATGATGAAGATGATTGGGAAACATAAAAATATCATCAATCTTCTTGGAGCCTGTACCCAGGATGGTGAGTAGAGAAAAGAAACTAAGCCAGGACTTTCACACGGGTCTTCAGAACTCTCATCAATCATCGTTTTTCAGGAGTTTTTAAGGAAACTGTCATGCTGTGATGGGATTTTTAGATATTTCCCTAGCTTAGCAGCGATATTTTAACTCCTGTGTCTCATTATATTTGCAGCTTTAATATGAGAAAGGGTACTATATCATGTGAAAACTCAAATCCCTTGCTGTAGGGAAAAATGACATTTTATAGTGACTTTACCCACATCTGTCATCCTGTATGGTCAGTCTTGTTTCAGTAAAACTCTTGTCCTTTGAATTTGAAATGAGTAATTTTATTCTTTAAAGACCACAATGTTTTTGTTAAGTGATAATTATATATAAAAAGTCATGCAGAAAGACGTACAAAATCTGGAAATTAGAAAAATCTATCAAACACAGCGAAAGTATTTCGTTAGATCTTGTGATGTTTTGGGTCTGAAAATGTCTGTGTTTCAGTACGTGGCATGGTCTGGAAGGAATGGGATTTAGGTACTTTCAGTTGCTAATGCAGCTTTGCCATTATTCTTCTAAAGCAGCCTTGGCCGCCACTTAGCGAAGCCCAGTCCTCCTTTTTGTTCAAGTTGTGCTTACTGGATTCACAATTAAACATTTATTAATCCAGTTTGTTTATTATAGAGCACCAGAAGATTCTCTACAGAAAACCGTTTTACCTTTTGACCTTACTCCAGTTTTGACACGCTTCTGTTTACCCATAGGTCCACTGTATGTGATTGTAGAATATGCTTCCAAAGGAAACCTGCGTGAGTACCTGCGAGCGCGCCGGCCTCCTGGGATGGAGTACTCCTTTGATATTAACAGGGTCCCAGAGGAGCAGATGACATTCAAGGACTTGGTATCCTGCACGTACCAGTTGGCAAGAGGCATGGAATACTTGGCTTCGCAAAAAGTAGGTAGAACTCAGCAAATACTGCACGAAGCACTCGGTACATATTTGGTTATAGGTTAAGTTGTTGTTCTCGTGTTATTTATGGTCAGTAATGTGCTGGGAGAATGACTTTTCTGTATACTTTGAGTCTTCCCTGTGCGCTTTGAGTACGTAAGGACAGGAGATCACATGATTATACAAGTCTCATTGTTCCATCCACGAAACAGCAAGGCATCATTTGCCTTCTGTTTCTAGTCAGTCTTACCAAGATTGATTCGGATATTGGATATTAGGGAGAATTTCTTCTCGGAAAGAGTGGTTAGGAACAGGTTGTGCAGGGATGTGATGGAGTCACTGTCCCCGGAGGTGTTTAAGGAAAGAGCAGATGCACTTAGGGATATGGTTTAGTGGACAGTATTGGTGGTAGGTGGATGGTTGAACTAAATGATCTTAGAGGTCATTCCCAACCTTAATGATTTTATGCCAGTGATGTAAAATAAATGAATTCAGTTTCTAAAAGGGTTTACAGTATGATAACATGCAGAGTGGAGAAGATCACAAGGTGTATGGGCAAAAATTGTGAACAAAATAATTAAAAATAAAGGTAAATGGAGTGCACTAGTCACTGTAAATTAAGTACTGTGCTTGAAACTGGCCTTTGTTAGCCTAACAAGCTTGTTGAAATAAGTTACGCATCATGGGATGTCTCTAGACTATTATTTCTTCAACTTTGCTTTGGACAGATTTTCTCAGGTCGCACCTCAGTTAAATTACAGTTATGGAACCTTAACTAGCCGTGTATAGTGAACTCCTTAAACATGTTGTCCCTTAAAATGAAGGCAATCATGGGTATTCTGGACACTGTTTGGACCCAGTGTCTAAACCAGAGCACCAGATACTGATGTTAAGTACCCCCAGGAAAGCATGGAGTGCTTAGTGGGATTTATACCAATTTCCAGTTCAGACCACTCCCAACTATGGAGCTGGTTTTAACCAAAGTTTAGAGCTGAGTTTGAACCTCCAGTCCCATTGTGTAGAGTTGTGGGATTTTATTGCTTCTCTGCAATTGTAGAGATAGGAAAGGGAGCAGGAATCGAAGTCTAATTTTGCATTTATTCTTTTGTTTGGAAATAGTAATTCTTAATTCAGTAGAGTAGGCAGGGAGACATGCATGACAGTAGGACAAAATCTATAGAGCGAGTTGAGTATTGTATTAGGTAAAGCACCTTAGAATATCCCTTTTGTAAGATTAATGAAACATTTGCCTGGCAATGAGCCACATCCCAAGAAGAAAAGGACCATTGTGAAAGGAAAAAATAAATCTTTTGGTTGGCAAATCTTGAAAAGCTCTGATATGCTGCTGCAGGATACTGCAAGAAAGTGTGTGCTCACACAGATCTACACAGCAGCATCATTTCTTCTGTGGTCCAGTTCCTTTGCAAAAACACTTATCGGTGCTGTGCTGAGCTTGACTGAATGCAAAGCATTGCATGAGGCACAGGGAAGAAGAAAAACAAAGGCAGCACCTAGTAAAACTGTGCATTCCCATTCTTCACACATCCCCCCCATTTCTGTTTGTATTTCTCTAATTCTTTTCCCCTTTGGGATCCCTTTACTGAGCTGGAATAATAAGAGATCTAGTCTTCTCATGGTATTTTCACCATGCAGGCGCTGTGAGAGAGCCAGTGTTCTTGTTATTTCAGTCTAATAAATGGCTCACAGAGACTTAATAGAATATATATAGAATATGGTTTTAATAAGTAAAGAAGGTACTCGGGTGTCAATTCCAGTTTTTGCCTTACAAGCAATTGTACGTTGGTTCCAAGCTGGATAAACACTTTTAAAAATTCTGTTGATTTGTCCTCTCTGACATGCCAGTATAGCACAAGAGCTGCAGGGGGTAGCCCCAGTCACTGCAAAGAGTCAGCAAATCACTGGGGCCAGGAGCTGGCTGTGAAGCCTGGCAGACGTGGCTGTGAGTCATGGTACCATTTTGAAATGGCAAAATTGCAGGGTATGAGAGAGCAGAAATACCCTGAGAGAAGGTAGTGGGATTTTATTCACTTGCTGGATTCACCTGGAGGTGCTGCCTGCTGTTCTAGAATGGCAGAAGCTGCTCAGAGACATCATGTGCCATACTCATCAAGGCACCTTGCCTTAGCAGTGGACATTAGCTATGTGTACTTGGGCAAGTTGCCTTGAGGAGTTCCTTCTGTCTCATAGCAGGTTCTTGTAGGGTTTGAGGACAAGGACAGGGTGGGAAGGCTGCCTGTGTTATTTCTTCTACCGTGGCATTGCTGATGCTGAGTTAGAAGCCTGATTTGACTATGAAGGTGTACTCTTGTCTCATCTGTGTGAAAGCACTACTGGTGCAATTTTTCCTGGCAGCTCCCCATGGCTCACCCAGTGAGGGAGCAGAAACTTTGTAGACTCATTTTACACGTGCAGGGTGAGAGATTGCAGAAAACCGCTGGGACAAATTATAATGCAAGAAAAGATGTGGGCCCTTACTAATTGTTTTATAGTGGTTCTGTCCAGCATGTCCACGCAGAGGCTGAAATAAGGGGGAAAACATAAAGTAAACTGAAATTGAGCAGGAAAAGAAGAAGAAACACAACTGTTTGACTTAAAAAGTAGTAGAATATCCTGAGAGGACTCTAAATGCAACACTGATTACTATGAACCTACTGCCACTCTGTATAAACCCCAAAAGAGTTCCTTAAAGGTAGGAGTAATACCCAGCGCTGCCACACTTCCTTTCAGTGTCAGGAATATCAGCTCCAAGTTTTCAGGATAATGCTGGCATGAAGAAAGAAAAAATCTGAGGAAATACTGGTTGGAATTTCAGTATAAGAGCTGTTTGAAAAGCAAACAGCCGAGCCCAAATTGCCTTTATTTTTTTTTTCCAAAGTGAAATTGCTGTAGTCTCATGGTTGAAGTAAACATACACACCCTGGATATCTGGCTAAAAATGATTTACTAGAGATGCATCTCTTAAGAAGATCTTTTATATTAAAATTAAAGGAGGTTACACTGATCCGGACTGTCAGGTTTTAGTTGGGTTGATCCAAGAGAAGCCACACAGTGACACTCTCATTAGCAGACATTTGCAATGAAAATGCTGCATTACCTGTATCTGGGGATTGTGTAATAAAGAGTGGGTCACAAACATCTTGGAACGTTTGGGTTCACCACCCAGAATCTCATCCTTGGCAAAGTAAACCGGAGGCTTTACAATCTAAGGATTTGGGTTAATTAAGTCTCTTTTAAAGATTTTATGTGGCTAGAAATAATTCCTTTTTTTTTTTTTTGCTACGGTGTATTTCAGTGGGTGTTTTTGTCTTGTCTTTCTCTCCAGTGTATCCACCGAGACCTAGCTGCAAGAAATGTTTTGGTAACTGAAAATAATGTCATGAAAATAGCAGACTTCGGTTTAGCCAGAGACATCAACAATATAGATTATTATAAAAAGACTACTAATGTAAGTGGATGGTTTTCTTATCTCTGGAAACAAGTGTTTCTTTCAATGTTTCACTTCAAAACTATGGTTATAATCTTAATGGGCTTCTTGTCCAGGAGACTGCTTTTAATCAGACAGAAAACAGACATCAAGGACATAAGCAATTCTTTCCCCTTCTTACACTGACGTTTAGTTTAAAAAGATAAACAAATAGGCTCCATTTTTTATGATTTATTATAACTGCTAGAATAGAACTATCCATGTTGTGTGTCCTTGACTCCAATCATTTGAAATAGGTGGAAATCTGATTCTAGCTCATTTTGAACCAGTCCTAGGATCTCAAAAAACACTGCATAAACAGCGATAGCAGTAACCATAATAAAAATCCTGTTTGTGTGGCAGTGCCACAATACAGGACTATGCATTTTGCCTTTGCTTGGATGTAAATAACTGTAGTATTAAAAGTTGGTCTAGAGCTTGAGAAAATGGATTTTCAGTACCTGTTGTTGTTCTGCTGTTAAAGCTGTCCCAAATCAAGATGGGAACTTTGCAGAATTCTTTCAGTTCTTCAGACTCTGTTAATACTAAATAGATTAATCCAAAATATTAATTAATCACATCGCCTGACTCATTTACAAAAATAAAGCACTGAGTGATGAATGGCATTTGAACAGTAATTATCAGAGTCTGCATAGTTCCAAAAGGCAGAGCAGCCAGGTGGGGATTTGTTGGCACTGGAGGGGATCTGAACACATTTCATATCAAATTTGGTACAACTCCTTGGCTCGAAGCAAAGCAGAGCTTTTATGCAAAGCTACAGGCAGTTGTGGCTGCAAGCTTTGGGAAAAGGAAAACAAAACTCTTGGGCTCAGTGATGAACTTTGTGCAAGCAGACCTGATTTTAAGAGATCTTTTCTTATTTCTACTCTTTAAAAAGCTGTAGTGAAATGATCTTTTTCTGCTTTGATTTGCTATGTGTACTTACAAGCAGCATGGGAACTTCTTTTTTGGAGCTCTATACATTTAAAATTTTATCTTCAGTGTTCATATCTATTTTTTCTTAATAACCTTCCTCCTTTCATCCGTTTTATTAATATTTTTTTAATGAAAGTTTTCCAAAATAAACTATGTGTTTGCATTATAGGGCTGATCTCTGAGAACTGATTTATTTGAAGCAAAAATCAGTGTTAAAATCATCCAGCCGATGGCTTCCATTTTCATTTCTCTTTCCTTCCCCTCCAAATATACAGGGACGGCTTCCAGTAAAGTGGATGGCTCCAGAAGCTCTGTTTGACAGAGTTTACACGCACCAAAGCGACGTGTAAGTGACTTTATTCCTGTAGTCTGGAAGGGGCAGCAGGGAAAACTGGTTCACGTTCCTTAAATTTTGGGATATTTTGAAATGTATTTTCCTGCTGTCCTTTCCCTTTAAGCGTTTTCATTTTGTTTCACGTATTAATAGATGGAACAGGACTTGCCCTTAGAAAGTGAGGATTTTATGGTAGACTGCTAACCAGCGCTCTGTTACTAATCTGCCTGGCTTCAAAGCACATGAAAGGTGGAAAATGCGAACCTCCTTCTGTCAGTGCGGAAGTTTCCCCCCTTGAACTTATTTACGGATGTGCAGCTACAAAGAGTCTATCTAATTTGCTTGGCTTTCCACATACTCTGCACTTCCTTCAGGTTAAAAAAAAAAACAAAAAAAAGAAGAGTGAAAAGAAAGAAGGAAAGAAGAAAAAGAAGGAAAAAAAAAAAAAAAAAGAGCCTTGTCAAAATTTGTGCTGTGGTTATGTACAGTAAAACATAGCCTGGATATAACAGAGTTGTTTTCCCTGTTGTTGCTTCCCAGCAGTGCTTCACATACAGAAGGAAATCATTGGACTCTGGCACTTCAGGATCTTGTAATGTGCGTGGTGTAGCTGGCTGATGCAACAGCTCCCATAATTCTGCTTCCTATTAAAGTTCCCTGGGCCCATCCTCAGTGCTCGCATGCATTGAGCTCAAAGTAGACGTGTATTCTTTACTCAGTGCAGATGAAGATCTTATGTTTTTTATTTCTCCAAGAAAAGATGTTAGCCTTAAAAGGCTGGATGCTTCCCAGCACAGGTGTAAAAGCTTATGCATGACAGTGCAGAGTTAAAATAGAAAGGAGCAGGGTGGAGAAAATAAAGAGGTGCCTCCTCCTCCTTTAACTTGGATGCTCTTCTCAAGTTGTTCTCTCCTTAAGAAAAGCATTTACTGAGGCCTTTCTTGCCATCTTTACGTTATTTATGAAGGAGATTATATACACAGGTCAAGGGTGGAGCCAACTTTTGCTTTAAAATAACATCTTGACAAAATATTTAAGTGAATGCGAAGTAAACGGCTTGGCTGGTTTAGAGCTGGAAGTCATTGTGAGCTCCCAAAAAGCACGGAGCACAGGCATTTCAGTCTTGGAACCGGGAGGCTTTTTGGCCCCGTGGTGCCTTTGGATAATATTATTGTAAGTTTGTGCAAACAGTTTACTAAAATACACTGCTGCAAAGCTAGCAGAACTGCAGAGCAGCTCGGGGCCAGGGCAGGCTGTGTGCTGTTGCTCACCTGGCAGAGCAGCCTGGCAGTGGGCCTGTGGCTGCCAGCAGGACGTGGCAAGGCAGCTCTGGAAGTGGGGAGCAGGAGGAAAACTGGCTGAAGTTTTCCCTCCTTCATTTCCTTACAAAAAAAAAAAATAATAATAATAAAAAAAATTAAAAGGAGCAGAATGACGCAAACTGTTTTTGTTTTGAACAGCCTTTTTTTTTTTTTCTTCCAAAATATCCCTCCATATACTTGCAAGCCAGCTCAGTGGTGTGGATATTCTGTAAATAATTGAACTGTGAAGACGCAGGTTTTATTTTGTAGTAGCTCTGGTGTGCATCCACTGCAAAAACATCTCTGTTTACAGCAGTAAGGCAATTTTACTAATGCAGTTTTCTCTTTGTTTTGCAGATGGTCGTTTGGTGTGTTAATGTGGGAGATCTTCACCTTAGGAGGATCGCCCTACCCAGGAATCCCAGTGGAGGAACTTTTTAAGCTGCTTAAAGAAGGGCACCGAATGGATAAACCTGCCAACTGCACCAATGAACTGTAAGGACCAAGGGCTGCAAACTGCACTGAAATCATAGAATATCCCAACTTGGAAGAGGCCCATCACACGGTTAATGCTACCCCAGCAGAATGTAGCATTTTCAGAAATGTTGGCTCTAAAATAGTAGCTGTGTGTGCATATAGATGCGTATAGAAAAGCTATGGAAAGGTCTCCAGGAAATGTTTGGTGGAGGACATTTTACACACCCTGCTGTGATTCCTTTGAAAATGGATGAGATCATCTGTAGGCCAGGCTTTGTCAGTGCTTTTACACCCTTATTTTCTCAGTTTTGGTTCATTAAACATGAAAATTCATAAATGGCACACATAGCCATACCACACACAGACTCTTATCCTGTATAAGCTACATCCAGCTGGTTTTGTACACAAAAAAAGTGTATTTGGGAACTTTTGCATTAACACAGCATTATCTACCAGTGATAGTGGAAGAGCGCTTTCCCTTTCTGATGCTTCAGTATTGCTCTTGATAGTTTTTGCTTTTATCCTCCATTTTAATTTCTTCACAAAGGCTGCAGTCCCTTACATGATAAGATATTTAAGCACGTGTGATTTAATACAACTGAAATGCCACTGAAGAATGCAGACTCGGGTCCACAAAGAGGAAATTCAGATGCTGGGCAAGCAGAGATACAGAAATAGAAGTGTACCTTTGAGGGAAGTGACAGCATTGTATGGTTTGGGCAACAACATTAGTCCACGTATAAAGCTTTGGAGTGCTCACTGCTTTATTTGTGATGAAAAATATTGGCTGCGTATGAAAAGGCTTATCAGAAGGATGTGTGATTTTAATTAACCCAGGAAAATGTGCATTTCTTACAGCTATATGATGATGAGAGATTGCTGGCAGGCTGTGCCTTCACAAAGACCAACTTTTAAACAGTTGGTAGAAGACTTGGATCGGATCCTTATTCTCACAACTAATGAGGTAGGTAGATTGTTTCCTTCCTTAAGCTACCAGTCAGGATGAATGGTTCAGGAAGCAGATGGAAATTATACAGTTATGAAATCCTGTTCAAGTTCTCATTCTGTTTGTCACCATCCTCTGAAGTTAGAAGCAGCTTAACTATGTATCCTATGAAATCCTCGGTTTCATTATGTCTTGGTTTATGTAAAAAAGCAAACACATCTTTAAAATGTTTTTGTTAATTTCTCTGTATTTTTTATGTTTTTAGCCTAGTGTTACTGAGAAAATACACGTGGCAGACTGAGAAGCAATGTTTATATTTCAGCATGAGTTTCGTGTGGAGGAGTGTAGGAGAGTTCATGATGTTTTTCATTTATCAGCTCAGTTTGATTCCCAGCCATGATATCTAGGTCAGAAAAGGAGAAACTGTCAATAGTAGATTTCAGATTGTGTCTGAGAGTGAATTAGGTTCACTGAAGCAGCTCTCAGTGGAGGGAAGAAGGGCCCACTGGGAGCACGTGAGCATCCATCCAATTATCCAAAGGTCCTGCCTACCACTGCTTCAGGTTGGGCTATATGAATGCAAAAGGGTTTCATTTGAACAGCATTCTTTCAGAGGATTGAAATATGATTAGTTCTGGCAAGACACACAGTGATTAGTGTATCCACACAGGAATCAGTTCTCTTACTTATCACGTGTACTTTAGAGGAAGATCACGAGTAATGGAAATATTGATTCTTCTGGTGGAAACTTTGAGAGAAAATGTTTGGTACCTCAAAAACATGTTACAAATTTCTATCATTTTGGGTAAGTTATACGGATGGGGGCTGAGGGAGATGAAAACACTGCAACACTTTTTGGTATATATTATTATAACATTTCTATATATTGGGGAGGAGGGAAGTAGAAAAAAGGTTTGGATCATGTTATATGTGTCACCATTACTTTCTCATTTTCCAGAATTCTCAGATTTATTTTTCTTAGAGAAGATATTAATGAAGATATTAATAGGTTTTAGAAAAGCATATATGCTATAAAGATGGCAGGAGACCTCGAGTAAGCAAATGCTGTTTTTTTTATTGACATCACTCGTCTGGTAGAGTAGGTTTACATTTCTATTTGAGAAGATTCTTTGGCTTCAGTAGCAGCTATAAATTTATCTGGATTATTCTTCTCCAAAACATGGCACCTTCAGGAATGGTTTGGGAATGGGGCAGGAATATGTGCTCCCAACTAAACCAGCAGCATAGCTCTGTGTACCATTACAGTTTTCCCCTCCATCCAACACTAACTGAATCCTTTCCTGCATCATTTACACACGATTTCACAAGAGTGGTTGGCAATGGGCTGGCTGCCATCACAGAGTGCTTGGTGGCTTGGATTGCATATGCATTTGCAAAGTCAAGATGGAAGCTCTGGGCTGTAATTCTAAGCTTGGAAGAGGATATTTCTTCCTCTTCTTGTATGTTTAAGCATGTTGCCTTCCAGTTGTGTAGCACTCGTGGGCCTGGAAGGATCTCAAAGGTAACCTGAAAAGGCCTTTAGGGTTATGTAAATGACTTTAGGCTCAAATTGTAGGGAAAAAAGTCTGGAAAAACCTCAGGAACACATCCAGTCCATCTGATCAGCCTGCAGCAGGATCCACTGTACATTTATCATGCCTGATGTGTTTGTGTAACTTTGTCCTTGAAGCTCTCCACTGCTGCATTCTGCATTGCCCATTGCCCTTTTTCATTAGCTTTACCTCCTGAAGGCTTTTCCTAATATCTAAGCCTTCAGCTTAATCCAGGGCAAAAGCAGTATCTTAAGAAAGTAGATTACTTTTTTTGTCTATGAGCTCCAGTGTGTCCCATCTTCTGCCACTCCTTGTGGTTTCAAGACCTGATTTCAAGTAAGCTGTGCAGTTTTGCTGAAGCACAGCTCCTCCATGCTTCAGTCTGACCACACTTTTGCTCACCCACTCCACCATGGTACCTTGTCTTTCCCACACATGCCACTGTTGATAGAGGGTCAACCTGGCTTGCCCAGCAGCTCCAAAATTGATTAGCCAATAATATGTTCTGCATTTGTATCAGAGATTATTTTGCCTAAGTCTCCCTCTTTTTTTTTCCTCATTGAAATCCCAGTGCTGGAGACTTTATGCCCCTACATGACTGTGGCCCTTTATGCTGAACAAAGAGGCTGGAGAGGAGATAAGAATCCCACCTTCAGTTCTGAGCTCATAGCTGAATTATATCAAGCTTTCAATATGACAAGCTGTGTCTGCAATTCCACAACAAAGCTTCAAATGCTGGAAGACTTTCCTCATCTGTCTAGAAAGTGCTCGATCATTTCTGGTCACATAGGGCTGTATTGGTTATACATAAATACATGCCAAGATTGTCCTTGTGGATCTTCTGAACACCTAGGGAGCAAGATAGGAAGTAATCATTGATCCAGACTGCATTCCCTTGCTGCCTATTACATTTGTCAGCATTTAAAAGCTTATATTTTCCTCCTTTTTAAAATGGTGACCATTTTTTAAGCAATAACGTGGTAATGATCAGATTTCTGACTTAGGGAAAAAAAAAAAAAGTCAACCAAAGAACAAAATTACCCCAACCCAAAGCACAGAAGCATAAAGCACTGACTGAGGTGGAGGACTCGTCTCGTCAGTGTGATCATAACTTGTGGTTTAGCAAATGAAGAGATTGCATTTAAATGAATGCAGCTGCCTTTAGAAGTTGAAAGAGAAGGAACATTTCAAGGGAGAAAATAACTTTCTTCTCCTGCCAAAACTGTTGTTTCTAGCAAAAGAGCCTTAACCCAAAACTTGGATTCAGCAGATATTATTTCCTTTTTTAATGACTGCTTTGGTCATGGCTACTTTGGGGCATGCAGGCATGCGCACAGACACACAGAGAAGAAAATGCAGTATAAAGAACCCAATCAAGTGAATTTAATTTTCTTTCAGTTCTTTTTTTGAACGTATGTCTGCCACTGCATGTTTAAAAGCAAAGTTAATATCACAGAATATAAAACAGACATTTAAATTGACCGAAGGAATACAAAGTTGGAAGTATCTTTCCCTCTCCAAATCATTACCACGTGCTGAAGAAAAATGGTTCTATTTAGGATGAAATTTCGTTTTTATCATTGTAAGTGAAAAGTCCTCTTTTGATGTGGTTGGCATGTTTATTTCCACTGACGCGGCTAATGTGGATGCTATTGGACTTCACAAAAGTACTGTGTTATTGGCTTGGCTTTCCTTTCTTTATTCAGGCTCCTTGTTTTATGAGATATTTGAGCTACAGGCAGTTTAGAATGCAATTGCATTAGGGAAATGAGTGTTGTTTTTAAACTGTTCTTTTACCCACTGTGTGATCGAGCCAAATCAGAGCAGTTGGAACATGCTATTGCCAGCTTTACTCGCTGGTTACAAACTCCATTTATTTCTTTTGTCAGGAGTATCTGGACCTCAGCGGACCTCTGGAGCAGTATTCACCTAGCTACCCTGACACCAGGAGTTCGTGTTCTTCAGGTGATGACTCTGTTTTTTCTCCTGATCCAATGCCTTATGAACCTTGTCTTCCCAAGTACCAACACATGAATGGAAGCGTTAAAACATGAAAAGAAGCAAGAACATCAGGCTACCTACCACATACAAAACAACATCGTTTCTCCAGGACCCTAAAGATTCTGCTTGTACATATGAAATATGGGAGAGAAAAAAAAAAAAAAAAAAAAAAAGAAAACTTGGAGGAAAGCAGTCAGATCGTACGTTAAAGATCTCATAATGTGCAACTTTTATTAAATGTTCCAACGAAGAAGAATGTTTGTGAGCTGTGTCTAGATACCCATCACTATCAGTTTTCTGGCTTACCCTCAGCTGCGACAGACTTTGTTTGTACAATGGACCAGTTGGACTTGAGGCAAACTCTGGGTCTGCCTTTCTTGTTTATTTTGTAATATTTGGAGAAAATATATGTTGGCACACACTTACAGAGCACAAATGCAGTATATAGGTGCTGGATGTATGTAAATATATTCAAAATATGTATAAATATATATTATATATATTTACAATGAATTATTTTTTGTATTGATTTTAAAAATGGATGTCCCAATCCACCTAGCAAATTAGTCTCTTTTTTAACAGCTATTTGCTAAATGCTGTTCTTACACAGAATTTCTTAATTTTCACCATCCAAGGGTGGAAAATACTTTGCTTTCAGGGAAAATGGTATATCATTAATTTATTAACTAATTGGTAATGTACAAAACAATTAATCGTTTATAGGGTTGTTGTGTTTTTGTAATTTAAATGGCATTTCTATGCAGGCAGCACAGAGAACTAGTAGATATATTGCTCAGACTTTACTAGTTTTCAGATCTTTTTTTAAAAAAAAAATAAATATTTACAGTATATAACTAATTTGGGGGAATTAAACTTTTGATTTATTTGTGTTTAAAAACTGCAGTGTCAGATGATTATTCTTATTGAAACCAAATCCTTTAACAAGAATGTCTTTTATTCTCAATACTTGTCACTTTAACAACTGAACTCTTTAGGCAATGTTTCCCATGGTGAAAAACCAATCATTCCACCAAGAAAGAAAGAAAGAAAAAATTAGAATGGGTTCCTAATGCAAGGCAAGTTATTAACTTGTCTCTAACCATAGCAGGACGTACTGCTCTAAAAGGAGCTGAGCTTCTACCCCGGGTTGCACATGCAACAGATTAAATAGATTTCTCTTCACTGGGTTGGGTAATAGGTTCCAGATCTTTTGGCCTGAATCTTTTGCCTTTTAGACTATCCCTCTATTGTAACTTAAGTTTAAAAAGAGAGAGGTTGTTTATAATGACAGTTTGCCATAGGAATATCAGCATCTTTTTAAAGGATTAATTCATGCTGACTCCAGTATTTCCTTCTGATTCATTCCATAACAGTAGGTATAGCACTGGCCTCTGCTAAAATATCACTGTTGTTTGTATCTTTGTACGGAAGTCTTGTGTTTGTACTTTCAGAACCCTCACACTGATACGGCCATGCAATATGAATGCAAATTACACTGTTCTATGTGTGTGTTTTTTTTAATTGGGTAAAAGAAGTATTAAAATCTGTTAACTTTTGTACTGACAATAAAATGTTTCTACAGATATTAATGTTAAAATTACAAAATAAATGTCATGCAGCTTATTTTTCCTAATCCTTTGTGTCATACAAAATGGTTTCCTGAACATCAAGTGATGGAACGCATCCAGAAGCACTTCCTTCTGCCCTTATCATAGAATACTATATCCCCAAGCAGTTCCTTCAGGAACAGTATTTTTGCTTCTGCCTTGTAGAATATTGGTTCATGAATAATGTGGCTCATTTGAGTAGATATACAAACAACCTCTGCTGCTTGTGGGATGAGATGCTATGCTGGAAAATGGTTTGAAGTGTGCACAGTGTAGGCAAAATATATTTCTTTTTTCATTTTTTCAGTCTGTATCTTTTATCTAGTGAGTTATTTGTATGGGAGAGTTTGGTGGATGATTTCTGTGGGAGATTTAAACAAAAAAAATGACTGATGGAAAGACGGTCCTCGTGGAAAGAATATATACGTATATTTTCCTGTCTTTTTTTCTTGAAAATGAGTAAAAGGAAGATTGACTAAAGTAGCTCATGCTACTCAAGTGAGGGAACGTTCTGGTCATGCTAGTCTTGCAGCTTATTCAGAGAAGGGTCTTTTCCACATGGTACAGAAGTGTGTCAAGGCTGACCAATATAATGGAAAGGAGTCATTTAAGAATGTAGGATTGCGTATTTAATATGTTTTTGGTCTTGGTTGTTTTTTTTTTGTTTTTTGTTTTGGCCTTTTGTGTGTTCATATCTCTTTTAACTCACAAAGATAAAGATTTGGACCTTGGAGATGGAGCACAACTTTACAAACTGGCTGAAGTATATTGTGCCATTTTCCTTTTTCCAGTTTTATAGTGTGACCCCTGGATTAAGGTTTTATTTTCTGTTGTCTGAAGATTTTCTTCTCTTCTTTGAGTACACTGTTTATATAGAGTAGGACACAGAAGCACTCAGTTTTTGGTGGAAAAGCAGAAAACTGCATGTGGAATTGCAAGAGGAGACAAGAAAGCAGGAAATAAAGCCTAGAACTTGTCCAAAGAGGGCATGTTTTTTATTGACACAGTACCTTGGGCTTTTTCAATGAGAAGGAGGGGTTAGGAATTTGAATTGCTATCTCATCTAAAAATAAAATCACCATTGATAAAATAGGAGCAATAATGAAGAGTAGCCCTATGTCAGAAAACGAATTTATATTGATGTGTGTAATGAGATTTATGCTTTGTGTATAATCACTGTTTCCTGCAGCATCTAATTGTCTTGTCTCCCACTGAAGTATTGATTCAAATCAACTCTGCAGTGTGTGAGGAAATACGGGTGTGGAAGCCAGATTACTGTGGCTGAAATACGTGAATAAGTTATTGCATATTTTGTTTTTCACAATTTTATTGTAATACAGCAAGTAGTGTGGGCTTTATACAGCAGACAAGAAGATAACTTCTGTTGTTTCATCTGTTGATTTGATGTCATTTGGTATCTGTTCTGTGTTGTGCTTTCACAAAATTTAAGCGTTGAACTGTGTTGTGCATTTCAAAGTTGTCCAAGGATGAGTAGGTTTACTAATCTTACTTCAGGAATAACAGTAGAAAGTACTTTCTATGTCTGTTGAAAGGATATCCAGAAAAGAGCACCAGAATAAGGATGAAAGCCATCAGTTGTTTCGGGGAATTTCTATCTGGATAGAAAAAAAAAAACACAAATGATTGACAGTGGGAGCAATATGACATTAGGATAAGCTGCCTGGAGAAACACTGGAGTCTGTCTCACTGTAGATAGTAAAGACTTGGCTTGGCAGTGTTTGGGTATCCTCATCTGAAGCCCTACTTCAACACAAGGCTGGCCAAGATGATCTCCAGGGTCCTTTCCAGCTGACAATTTCTATGATCCTGCAAATCCGCATTATTGGCCAAAGGAAAGCTGGCTCATGTTAAATTTGTCAGTGGGATGTATTGTTCAGTAAATTCAGTTCAGTGATGCATTTAACGAGACAGATTCCTCTCTATTAAGACATTTGGATTTTAAGAACCAGGTCCTGGCTTGCCTGTGATTATTATGGCTGCCAAAGACTTTCTGACTTTGAATAATTATGCAGTGAAAAGCCCTGTTTTGTCAAAAAAACTCTAAAGCACGAGTGCCTTGCAGAAGATAAAGTATTTTGACCTTACCAGAGTGGCATGACCCTATCAGAGTTATCTTGTCAGAAGGAAATGAAGTCATTTTATGTTGAGTTTATTTCATAGTAGGAGATAATATACAAAGTCAAAATGGAATATGTTGATTTTTGTCCAAACAGAATGATTAGCCTAACTCAAAGCAACACAAAATCCTGCAAGCTCAAAAGTCCTGCAAATAGTTTCACTTTTAAAATGTTTCCTTTTCAGTTCAGATTGAAAGTCAGGTTTTGTTTTGTTTGTTTGTTTGTTTTTCCAAGAATTTCTTGATTAAGTTTCTGATGAACCAGCTGTGGCACAAAGCCCACTGCCCCTGCACCAGCTGTGAGTTGGTGACTTGGATTGTGAGGAGTCTGACAGAGATACAGGATGGGACAAACTGTTCCAAAGTCTCACAGGATTCCAAAGGAGGACTAATATTTCCCAGTGGCAGTGGAGGAACTCATCTCCTCTGCTGTGGTATCATGCCTTAGCATTGTCTGAGGCAGTAAGGAGAGAGTGGAGGCACAGGACAGTGAATGAGAGCCCTGGTGATTCACAGAGAAATCTCTAATTTGATATACTGGAACTAAAATGAATTAAAATTTATGGAAAATAAAACAGTCCCCAGCAGTACTGATTTTTAAGACATCTCAAAGAAGAAAGAAGCCAAGGTGCAGTGTTGTGCCAAAGCATGTTTCCCTGGCACAGCTATAATTTTAAGTCTGTTCAGCAGCATACATCCTTTCTTTTCCAGAAGCTTGCTGCTGCAGGGACGCAGAAACTGAAAGCTGAATACTGCTGAATTCAGTAGGTGAGGCATCTGAGATGGGAGCAGTGCTGGGAGCACAGCAGGCTGTGTCCTGGTCTGTAAGAGCAGGTGTGGCACGGCTGGAGAATATGGCATTGCATCTTCTTGCATCATTTCTGATGATCCTTCAGAAGGAGCCCAGGTGTGATGTGCTGAGGCCCAAGTACCAGCTGTGCTTGGGAGCAGCTTGTTGCTGCAGAGGCCCCGTGCCCGTGCACCTGGGGATGCACTGGCCAAGGCCTGTGGACTGCAGTGGGGTTTCCTGGCGAGCCACCAAGTGTGGTGGCATGAGCACGTTGTTGTTCCTTGCTCTCCTTGACAGTGGACAAAACTTCACACGTAACGCGTTCATTGACTTCTAGTGAAGTTGTTCCATGTAAGCTTTCTGTAGCAACTTTCTCCAGTACAGCTGCCTGCTCCTCCCACCACAATTATAAGGTGTACTGCTGGTTTTGCAGAGGATAGGACAAGGCTTGCAGTGTGTAAGTTCCACCTGTGCACAGCTAGTTCAGAGATGAGGGATTCTGGGGTGCTGCCTTTCTGCTGGTGGTGCAGAAGATGCATGCAGAGGGCTTCAGCTGAATGGAGAGTGATGATCAGCCCCAAGCAATAAATTGGAGGGGAGGATCCTTCCCAGCTGGTACTGGCTCTTAATTCA